TTTCGGAGCCACGCAGGGTCCCCTTCATGAGGCTCAGAGATGACATTGTAGACCAGGGGTCTCAAACTCAATTTGCTCAGGGGCCACTGGACAAATGTTTTAGTCCTGTGGGGGCTGCTACTTTATACGGTACCAGTGTTAATGTATGCACATGTTACAAGCGGCAACTGTCACCCATTCAAGTTAATGATCGGGTGACAGCTGCTGCATGTAAACGCCACATGTAATCATATGTGAAATGATTACATGCAGTTAGGAATCAATCACTATCCCTGGATACACAATTGTGTATACACAATTGTGTATCCAGAGATAGTGATTGTTTTTGTAACTGCATGTAATCATATCACATATGATTACATGCGGTATGCAGTGTTTACATGCAGCAGCTGTCACCTGATAATTAGCTTGAATGGGTGACAGTTGCTACATGTAAATGCCAGATTAGAGATTCCTGTGCAGGAAAATGCAAGTTTGTGACACAGTAATCCCTAATTGCACCTGAAATATAGGTGTGAATGGGGCCTTATACACACCCACAACCCCCCTCCCCCTCACACATAAAATTATACACTCCCGAACCGAACACATAAACTCTCCCCCCTCCAAGCCCCCCTGCACATAATAATAAACTTCCCCCTGCCCCCTCACCGGCTTGCATCTTTACAGGGAGGAGGCACATCATTCCCTGGTGATCTAGTGATGATTAGTAAGGTCTAGTGCAGACCTTACTGATCATCGCTCGGCCGGGGCTCAGAGTCAGAGCTCCGGCCGGAGCCGACAGGAGCAGCTCTGCGGTCTGCATCCGACAGAGATGCAGACCGTGTAGCAGAGGCCATCTTGCAAGTGCAACTATACCCAGTTAATGATAATCTAACGCAGAGCTTTGTCCTCCAGTGAACGCAAAGGATTTTATGATGATTAATAAAATTATATTTTTATAAATCCTAAATAGATTGCAGTCAGATTGAAACACAGTCAACTGAAGGTTTGAAGTTGTTTTAGTTAGATGACCAGAAAAATTCTAACTTTTAACCTGAAGTGAAAGCTGTACCTGAGGTCTTGCAGTATAAGGATCTCCCGTTTGTGCTTAAATCACTCTGTGGTTCTGTTGCTGAATCATTTCTTAGAATAACAGTTGTTTCCTTTTCACTAGTATGTTAGTTTTAAACTTTTATGTATTCTCATCACGAAAAATAGAACCACAGCTGAAAGCAGTAGGTCATGAATCTTGTTTGGGTTTAGTAATTTAATTCAATGTTACTTTGCCATGCCTTTAGGGGTCTTTATAGTGTTCTTTCAAAGTTTCCAGTCTGCATTTGAAATGCAAATATTGGATCTTTTATTTTTTGTAATTTATTTTCTGCATATTTTCAACAGACTGCTTTCACACTAATCTTCTCATTAGCCCCACACAAGTGGGAGAGACTTCACAGGCACTAGACATGATCTTTGGCTTCCTCTTCAATATTTTGTTACAGCAGGAGGTTACGAACAAGTGCTGTTTAAATGTCCTTTCCCCTGCCACTTCAACTCTATTTTGTGCTTCCAAAGTATGTATAGTCTTCATTGGGCAAGTCACTCAACTTACCCGTCAGTGTGATTTAAATCATGTCTGATGGCGACATTTGTTTGACACACATCAGTGAATGTTTTCAGTGTCTTTTGTTTAGTTTGCTTGAACATTAATCATCTGGATGTCCATGTTGCTGACACTATGTTCTGTTCACAGTGTATATCTGTATAACGTCTTTTGTTTTGTAGATGTTATCATTTCATGATTATTAAGACCCGATTGGAGATTTGACCTTGTCATATGGAGAACTGTTACATCAGCTATTAATTCATGAATAACCAGTATAATTTCAGGCACATGTTGATCTTCAATGTCAAAATTAGATTATGGCTTAGCACAGTGTAAAAGTATGATCTAAATGGTGTGTATATGTAACCTAGTAGATATTTATACCCTTTCTTTTGTTTTAGGGTGTGTTGTAATATTTAGCGATAGTCTCAAGCAAAGATAACAAAATACATTGGGTGTAATTGAAAATTACATTTAATTTTTATATATAACTAGCATATTTACCTAAGGCTGCATTTACACTTTGTGTGATTTAGATGTGTTTTAAATGGGTTTCTAAACACATATGTATGCATCTAATGATTTCCAGTGGATCTATTCACACCTTGCCTTTTAGATGCTTTTATTTCCAATCTGTTTAGCTGCGTTTAGAAGAAACAGAAGTCAGGTGCATCCAGGAATTGTTTTGAACTTCTAAACGCACCAAAATGCATGTAAATGCATGTAAGAGGTGTTTATTTGTAGAAATCTCTTTGGCTACTCCAATGAACTGTTTCAATGGACAAAGGACAAATGCATCTAAACTCATATACAGTATATAAACACGAGTCATCTTTTAAGCATCATTTTGCTGACAGATCTCTGCAAAAAAAATGCAAGTGTTAAGGAAGCCTTACTCTGTCTTCATATCAGCCTTTTGTAATCCCTTGTGCAGCATTACTCAGGCTGAGAATAGGAGGAGTACCATTTTAAGTCAATTAAGGCTCTGTTGCAGGGTTTTCTCAGTTACTATGTGAGCATGCTTTTATAAGAGGAGAGAGCGTACAGAAGACCTCATCATTATGCTGCTCTTATTTACCATCTGGTCTGACTGAGTAATGCCTCGTACTAGGCTTTTGGATGTCCAAGACTTGGATGTTCCGCCTGACTTGGGTTTGTGGATCACAAAACTGTCTCAAAATAATTGCAAATCCTTTGAGTGGTATGTGTATTTCAATTGTGTATTTCATATATGCCTGGTGTTCAAGGTTAATACAGAAGCTAAGCAAGGATCCTGCAATAATCAGGTCAATAACAATACAAGCACTGAAAGCTCTCCCCTTCTCTGAGATTTTAAAAGAATTTGTAAAATGCCTATGATTGGTGAAGGACAGTTCTTTTTCTAAGTGCAGATTCAAACCATGCACAGCATGTGTATGAAAAAGAAAATATTGCCAGGGCCTGGTTTAAAATATCATGGTAGCTGCAGCTTTCAGAACCAGATTAGGAAGATTTTATATGACCCTAGAGCTGCTTGTCTGTGGCTACCCTTAGGCTAACTATAAGCCTCTTTACCACGTATCTCAGCTTGACAAAGAGGCAGGGACCTCGAAACGCGTAGCGCTATCTGAACGCACTGAGCACCATATTTACTGACGCTCAGGGAGTTCAGCCGATTCCACCACACCGTGGCCCCTTTGTCCCCAATTGCAGTCTCTCGTGCAGTCCGACTTGCTGACACCCGTCCAACGGACACCTCACACTGCTGTTACGGCTAGGCCTGGCCAGCTCAGTCCGCACAGCCACAGCTTCTGACTATTCTTGCCAGCCTAAGACCATCCAGGCACGCACCCATCCACCCCACTGTCACTTCACCCTGTACCCTGGTTCACGTTCTACACAGGGATTACAGAGGACCTCCTTCTGAGACACAGGGACACCTCAAACGTGAGTTTACCTATACAGTAGTAGCGCTCTAAAAATTATTTGTGTATTGTCGCTTCATACAGGGCCCCTCACCCTGTTCACCGTAGAGCTTGCACACTGTTTTTTTAACCATTTGTGCCCACATCCCCAGAAGTTGTTACTTCATGTAGTGCGCTTTTCCATTTTTTTACCATATTTTTTAGTATAAACCTCAAAGGACAACTGTATCTTTAGTACAAGGCTCAAATCTCGGCTTTAGCAGTTCTTTCCAGAAGCCACTCACTCTCTAGTGTGGGCTTCAGACAAGGTGCCTCTCGCATTGTTTTTCTATGTACTTTTTCTAGTGAATCTGTGGGCTCTTAGCATATTCTGTAAACTTATCTAAACTGCCTCTTGAGCTTATCCAGGTTATTCCTTACAAGGTTGTCTTCTCAACGCTTCTGTGAGGTGAGTTTGAGTAGGTGGCCTTTACCTGTAAGGAACCTTTTCTTGTTCTTCACATGGTTGTTTTGAGCCAATGGTCTATTTTAATCCTAAGGTCATTTTCATCCACTGTTTCTACCCTATTTCTGTCCTACTCCGAAAACATAATATGGAGTTTCCCTCCAATGTCTAAATGTGATGTGTGCTGCTTGAGTTTGTTTCAGCTCCTACTCCTTCTCGTCAGTCTATTTCTGTTTGTTGTCCTTGAAGATCCTCGCAGGGAAGAGCCTGTTTCTTGTTCCACTTTTATTAGGTGGATTCATGGGCTCATCTTCCAGGCTTATGACCTTTAGAACAAGGTTCCTCATTTCCCTGTCGGGGTGCACTCTACCTGACCAGTTAATGCTACCTGAGCTTTTCAGCATAGGGTATCTAATTCTCAGAGTGCAAGGCTGTCTCCTGGTGTTATGTTCATACATGTGTTGGCGGTGGCTGTGAAGGCCTTAGCTCGTACAGTTCTTCAGGAGGCTCTGCAAGCTCTGTTGAGCCACCTCTTTGTTGGCTTTTGTTTACCCTCCTTGCCCAGCCCTCAGTTGGACTGCTTTTTGATGCTCCACAGTTAGGAAACCATCTTGTATCCTGTAATTTATGACTAAGAAAATAGAATAATTTTCTTGGAGTGCATTACAGGACATAGATCCCTCCCCTTTTTTCTTATGATCTGCTCCTATAATAACATACTCTAAGTGGGAGGGGTTATACTAAGCTGTCCTTTTAGCTTTGTTGTACCGGTGTCCTGAAGATGGCAGCATAACCAATGATTAAAAATACCATCCAGTGTCCTGTAATGGGCTCCAAGAAAAGGATTTTGCAGGCACGGCGAAACTCCTCCTATTTTTGGTATGGTCTAGTACCATCACGTATATGTTTTGGACAATTGATCTTTTTGGAAAGAAAGATTGCTACTGTTAATATAAATAATCTTTACTTTATAAAAAATGTACTGTAACTGTCTGAACTATGAATATTTTTTGCCACATTCCTTCTATGTTTGACTTTTTGTATTGTGTATGATTTTTTTCTTCAGGGTCAGCCAGTTGGAGAATGTGACTTTAACATCCGATTGTCCTGCATTGAAAAAGAGATCATTCTTCCCAGGCATGAAAAAATGAAGTTAGGACTCATTGACAAAACACACGAACCATTCAGTGTGAGGAACAAACCGTTTTTTGACATCCATGCTGCAAGAAAGGTACCTATGCAAACTGCTTATTTGCATAAAATTAATGTGCACCATTGAATGTTAACATTTATAACATTGCCACCGTGGTTTCACATGTAAAGAACAACTTCTTATCTGTCAGTAATGTTTTTGTGTTATCTCTGCCAGTGACCTTTATATACTCCTTATGTGTGTATGGCATGTGTTTGTCTTAAATTCATACTTGTGTTTTCTCACTGAAATGCTCCTAGTGTGATAATTGATAAAACAGCCATGTGAAGGGGGAACCATTTCTGCATGTTGTATTTATTCATGGTGTCTGTAGGTCCAAACTGTACATTCACAGAAACGTGCTTCTTTTCGACTTGTCTTCTGAATTGTGAATTGCAAATGTGGAAAGTATTGGAAATCATCAAATGTCATTTGTTCACCCAAACTGAACAAAACAGTTAAGTGAAATTAAATGCTTATATAGAACTAATCTGGCATCATTATTTCAATAGTACTTATTCTTAAAGGGTTATTAAAACCTCTGGGTTTTTTTTGCTTATATCTACTGCTGGGTTTAAAAAAAAAAAGGGTTTAAACTTACCTGTGTCTCCCCCGCACACTCCCGTCCGAAAAACTGAAAAATCTTGGGCGGCAGCAAAGGATCTTGGGGCGTACGCATGCACAGTTCAGATTTTCGTCCGGAAGACGAGGAGAGACACAAGGTAAGTCTATGGACAGCGTGCACCCGAATGCAGACATCGTGGGACAGGAAGTGCCAGCAAGCACAGAGGAGTCAGCGCTGGATCGGAGACCTGCAGCAGCGCTGGCGAGTAGGCTGAAAACGACAGGAAAGAAGATCGGATTAAGAGACCTCATTTAAGGTAAGTGCTTACATTAACAATGGGGGGAGGGAATTTTTTTATCCTTTTAATGTCACTTTAAGTGTAGTTACTCATAGCAACCAATTTAACCAGTTCATGCCGCTTAAGTCAGACCAGTGATGAATTAGGATTCTTAATGATTGCTAAAAATTAGTATAGGGAGCTATGGGCTCAAGCCTATGTTATAAATAGAACATTTAGGACCCATTCACACCATATGCATTAGTTTTTTCCCAGCACATCCCGAATGCAAGACAAGGCAATTTGCCTTGTCATGGATGGGCACAGTTCACACCACCGCGCTGTGTGAACGATATTAAGTAGTTTTGTTAAGCGCACCGCAGTGAGACGCGGTACAACCACATTACACTGCGGAGTGCCCATATAACTTCATGTATTTTCTGACATTTCAAAAAAGTGCTGACAAAAAGAAAGAAATAGTGCATACGTATTTAGAGTAGCTGTTTGTATGTGCCATTTTGTAATTTGGAATACATACTGTAGTTGTTTTTGATAATGCAATCAAAGCTTATTATTAGTGAGTACTGCCTTCTTTCTGCCCATCACTTCCCTCAACTTCCTGGATTCCCTGTGTGTTTTGGATTTCTTTCCTTGCTGCTTGATATGATGCAATCTTGATTTCTCAGGACTACATACAGTATCCCTTAATCCATTGCTTATCATTCCAAGCAATGATAATGTTACATTGTTCAGACGTTGAGCTGTAGTCAGAGGTGTAACTAGTGACCTCAGGGCCCTGAAGCAAGAATCCATGAAGGCCCGCCCCCCCCAAAACAAAAAAGAAAAATAGATACATTTATTTTAAAAAAACAAACAAAAAAACTTTAGACAAAAAAAAACCACACTCTCCACTTCCATGTCTCCAGCTCCCCATTATCTCCCCCTTCATAGCCCCAGCTTTCCACTCGGGGACCCCACACTCTCCTCTTCCATGTCCCCAGCTTCCCCTCATCTCCCCCTTCACGTCCCCAGCTTTCCACTCCCGGACCCCACACTCTCCTCTTCCATGTCCCCTTCATAGTCCCAGCTCCCTATATCTCCCCCTTCGTGTCCGCAGCAGACCTCTCTTACTGATGCAGCTCTCTATTCGGCAGCATTCTGTGTGATGAGGGGGCAGTGATAACCCGCTTCCCACTCATTGGCTGCTGCGTCGACTGGATCATACTTCGCACTGCGCCCGGAACAAGGTGAGGGGCGCAGCGTGAAGCACGTAGAGCACAGGACAGGGGGAAAAGGTCCCGGTACTGACATTAGCGGTTAACGGGATATTAAATATCCTGGTAATCAGCGGTTACCAGGGGCCCCTTCCTCCTGTCCTAGGCCCCCTCCAAGTGGCGGAACTCCAGGGTCCGGTCGCGGCTGCGACCCTGGTAGTTCCGCCACTGGCTGTAGTTCAGAAGGCAGGCACTGTGTGAGTTTTGACACGAGTAAGTGCATATTCACAGGGATGAGTGACGTTGTGTCAGTGCATTGAAGAAGTACATCCTATGTTAATTTTCAATAAGTTAACAAAATTAGTTGTAGTTTTTGACCATATATACTTTTTAAATGTTAAAGCGGAACAATTTAATGGTTTGTAGTCTATTGCTTATTTATGCGTTTTTTTATTTTTATCTGAACTGCAGATTTTTATCCTTTTTTCTTTTCTATTTTTCTTTGGGAATTTATAAATAAACTGTTAATACATTACATGATTTTTATGGCACTGTGGGTTAGCTAAAGAGGCAGTACCGCAGTTGCCTGTTCTGAGTCAGTTTTGTCCAAATATAAATTGATGGACTATTCTGCCTTCCAGCAGTAATTTTAGTTAATTGTAGCTGAGACCAAGCACTTCAAATGCAGAAGGCTGAGTTTAGTTATTGAACTATTTAAATGTTTCCAGCATAGGCATGCACAGCCTATTGCATTAGGGTGTGCACACGAAAGTACAAACACACACGTGTGTGTATATACAGCATCTCGTGAGGCATCCTGGATTCCCATTTCTTCAACAGTCCCTTACTTCCTTTACGTATTCCAGTAGGAGTAAAGCAATGAAGCAGGGAGCCTGGTAGGTGATCATATGACCACCCACCTGGCTTCCTGATTGGATGGGAAGTCACAGCCACGCTCCCTTGCAACTTCCCAGGCCCAGGCACCGAGGACTGCGGCTGTTGTGTGAGGAATGTAAGTGGCAAGTGCTGCTGCACTCTGTATTGCTGAGCCAGTCACATAGAGATCTTTGTGATTTCTCCACTGACTCAGTGACTAAAAATATGGCTCCTGCTGTTGCGGTTTTGGCAGGGCCAGTCCAAGGATTTTTGACTACACAGGTGAAGGTGCCTATGCAGCCTTACGCTAGCTCCGGCCCTGCTCACATGTAGGTGTAACTGGGGCCTTCCCATGAATACAAATCAGCTGCTCGTAGTCCAGGCAGCCTAGACCACATGGTATTTGTCTACCAAACATAACTGCACAGAGTTTAGTGTGTTCAATGAATAAGGGAATCAATAGGAGTTGGGCTTTTGGAGCCACCTACTGCAGCAGGAGTTTCCTACTACATAGGGGGAACCCAACTACTAAGCATTAGCCACCTACCAGAGAGCAGGGGGCTGGATTTCGGACACCTACCACAGAGCAGGGGGATGGGATTTCAGACACCTACCACAGAAGGGGGGTGTGGGTTGGTTGTTGGAGGCACCTACTACAGAAGAAAGGGGAGCCACCTATTACACACATTGCCCCTATATACAATGTTCTGCCTACAACCCTACCACATACACACATACACATTGTCTCCACCCCGCCATATAGGCATTGAACTCTGCCATGTGGATCGCTACGCAGGGCTGGATTAAGAGCATCATGGGCCTGGTGCTGAGGAAAGCCCTACCCAGTGCTTACAGGGTTCGGCGTGCTCACATCCTCTCCTCTCTTCTGCTGCAGCCGCTCACACTGATGAGGGATCCAGATCATTTGCAGCCTCATCTGCGTTCCAATCTGCCTCTTGTCCTCCCTCCTGGCCCTGGCAGCCCTGAGTCCCGTCTGTGTCCAGGATCCCCTGACTCTGCCATGTGGATCGCTACGCAGGGCTGGATTAAGAGCATCATGGGCCTGGTGCTGAGGATTTTGTTGGGCCCTTTTAGGGAAATGCATAAAAAGAAAACCACCAACGTAACGAAGGTATTCACACTGACCAGCAATGTAACGTAGGTATTCTCACTAACCAGCAATATAACGGAGGTATTCTCACTATTCAGCAATATAATGGAGGTATTTTCATTGACCAGCAATGTAGTGCAGATGAACGCGCACACTCAGCTAAACCCAACCTGCCTGTTTCTAGCACATTATTTGATTAGCTAAATTCATCTCCATCTATTATTGCCCCCAATCCTCCAGTGAGGAGCACCTGTGACCCTCATCACCCCTCTGTTGCCACTCTCCCCCACATTCTCTCTGCTCCCACATCTCCCCCATATCCCCTCTGCTCCCACTCTTCCCTACATCCCCTCTGCTCCCACTCACCCCCACATCCACTCTGCTCACCCATATCCCTTCTGCCCCCACTCTACCCAGCATCACCTTTTTCTACCTGTCTCCACCTCATCACCCCTCTGCTCCCACTCTACTCCTCATTACCCCTCTGCTCCCACTCTCCACCTCATCATCCCCCTGCTCCGTATCCCACACATCCCTTCTGCTCCCACTCTCTCCCTTATCATCCCTCTGCTGTCTGCATACAATCGTCCCTCTTGTGTATCTCACTTTCTGGATGGCAGCCAGGGTGATCTCCCCCTTCTCACACATGATACTTTTTTATTGTTTGCATGTTATCAGAGACATTTCAAACAATTGATGGGCGTCCAACATAACCCCTTAAAAAAATGCTGACATTGTCAAAACTAAACCCAACTTTCAGGCAGTATTACTGCCTTTGTCTGCTCAGATTGTGAATGGGTTATGAATAATGATCTAATCTGTATTGTTGTACTAGACCACAGATACATTCCAGTTGCTGTATATCAATAGTACACTCAATCTCGCTTCATCTTCTTCCACAAATATGACAGACCCTGATCACTAACAAATTACCACTGAAATATACCACACAGATAAAGCAGAAACTGGATAAAGAACAGCTGAGGTGAAAAACCG